AAGAGAGCCCTACCAATACCACTTTCATACCAGGGTGAATGTAGGTATGCTCAAAGTTGCATACCTGAGGAGCAACATCAGAGGATTAACACTGTTGGGGAGGAAATAGACTTGACTAAAATAATCCAGCCACTCATTAAAAATAAACTCACAAATAACAATAATAAGCTCCAGTGTAGGAGACTAGTACTCAAAGTTGCTACAATATACTATCTAAAATGTCCAGTTTCTAACAAAAAATTACAAGGCATGCATATAAATAGAAAAGTATGACCTATACACTAGGGAAAAAAACAGGTAACACAAACTGCTTGTGAGAACAACTAGATGTTAGATTTAACAGAGACTTCAAAATATAAATTATAAATATGTTCACAGAACTAAAGCAAATTGGCCTTTACCTTACACTATACTCAAAAATAGATTCTAAGTAGACATCAAATGAAAAGTAAAACCTACAAAAGAAAATGTAGGACACTATCCTTATAACTCTCTGGGAAAAGAAGATAAGGGTGATTTTTTTAAAATTGTATTTTAGATGAAGATTTACAGAAAAAATAGTTTCTCATTAAACAGTCAGTACACATATTGTTTTATGACATTGGTTAACAACCCCATGACATGTCAACACTCTCCCTTCTCGACCTTGGAGGACCTTTTTTTTGGTGAAAATATACACAGCCAAAGTTACACCATTTCAGAAGTTGTTACATTTACAATTTAGTGACATCGATTATATTCTTCCAGTTGTGCTGCTATTCTCACTATCCTTTTCCAAATTATTCCATCACCATTATCTTCAACTCACTGCCCCTTAGGCTTCCCATCAAACTTTTTGAGTTGCTGTTGTCAATTTGATCTCACATAGATAATTCTTTTTTTTTTTGTACCTTAAATGAAGGTTTACAGAACAAATAGTTTCTCATTAACAGTGCACATATTGCCCTATGACAGTGGTTAACCCCATGACATTTTAACACTGTCCCTTCTCAACCTTGGGTTCTCTATCACCAGCTTTCCTGTCCCCTCCTGCCTTCTAGTCCTTGTCCCTGGACTGCTGTGCCTCATTAGTCCCATTTTGTTTTATGGGGCTGTCCATTCACCGGCTGAATGGTGAACCTTGGGAGTGACTTCACCACTGAGCTAAAAGGGTATCCAGGGGCCATACTCTCAGGGTTTCTCCAGTCTGTCAGGCCAGTAAATCTGGTCTTTTTCTTGTGAGTTAGAATTTTGTTCTACGTTCTTCTCCAGCTCTGTCCAGGACCCTCTATTGTGATCCCGGTCAGAGCAGCCAGTGGTGGTAGCTGGGCACCATCTAGCTGTACTGACTCAGTCTGGTGGAGGCCGTGGTAGCTGTGGTCCATTAGTCCTTTGGACTAATCTTTTCCTTGTATCCTGTTCTCTTCATTCTCCCTTGCTCCCAAAGGGATGAGACCAGTGGAGTATCTTAGATGGCTGCTCACATGCTTTTAAGACCCCAGACGCTACTCACCAAGGTAGAATGTAAAACATTGTCTTTATAAACTGTGTTACGCCAATTGAGCTAGATGTTCCCTGAGAAGGGTGATTTCTTAAGACCAAGAAACATACATTGTAAACTATAGGACCACATTAATATTAAATACTTGTTTTGCAAATAAAGAAGATACCATAAACAAAGTGGAAAAACGAGCTCACATGCTTTAAGAAGTTAGTTGTAACATATGTAAGCAACTAAGGCTTAGTAAACAGAACTTCTGAAGACAGGACACAAGCAGGCATTTTACAGAAGAGGAATCTAAGATGACCGATGACAGTGTAAAAAAGATTCTCAACCTTTCTCTCGTAATCATGCAAGTGTAAATCAAACCAATATACAGTATATCATTTATATCTATCGGCTTAGCAAAACTGTAAAAATCTTCCATACTGATAATGGTGGAGGAGCACTGGTTGCGCAGTAGTGAAGAGCTCGACTGCTAAGCAAGAGGTCAGCAGTTCGAATAATGGTGAGCACGTGGAGCAATGGATACTCTCAGGACTGCCACTGGGAGTCTAAATTGGCACAGCGCTTTGAAGAACAATTTGACAACATCTACTAAAGTTGAAGATGTACATCTCAGCAGTTGCACTTCTAGACATATAGCATGAAAAAATGCTCACGTATGAACACTAGGAGACATTTATTAAAATATCATTTCAGCATTGTGTGTCAGACCAAAATAAAAAGTGAGAACAATTAAGTTTTATAATCAGAATTGATAAATACATTTTCATATATAAAAGCATTAACTAGAGTAATATGTACCAACAAGGGTAACTTTTAGAAACATAATATTAGAATAAAATTATGTTGCAAAATTCTACACCTAGTTTGGTATTTATTGTAAAGGTTAAGGACTTTTAGAAAAATACAGTTTTATGGTTGCTTATATATGTATTAATGGTATAAAATATGCATGGGTAGTGTCATGGATTGAATTGTGTACCCCAAAAATGTCTGTCAACTTGGCTAGGCCATGATTCCCAGTACTGTGGGATTGTCCACCATTTTGTCATCTGATGTGATTTTCCTGTATGTTGTAAATCCTGTCTCTATGATGTTGATTAGGTGGGATTAGTGGCAGTTACGTTAATGAGGCAGGACTCAATCTATGAGATTAGATTGTGTTTTAAGTCAGTCTCTTTGAGGTATAAGAGAGAGAAGCAAGCAGACAGACAGGGGGACCTCATACCACCAAGAAAGCAGCATCAGGAGCAAATCATATCCTTTGGCCTCGAGGTTCCTACGCAGAGAAGCTCCTAGACCATGGGAAGATTGATGAGAAAGACCTTCCTCTGGAGCCAACAGAGAGAGAAAGCCTTCCCATGGAGCTGATGCCTTGAATTCGGGCTTCTAGCCTTCTAAACTGTGAGAGAATAAATTTCTCTTTGTTAAAGCCATCCACTTGTGGTATTTCTGTTATAGCAGCACTAGATAACTAAGACAGGTAGAGAAAACAACAACTTCAGGATAGTGATTGCCTCTGGGGAGTGGACGATTTGATAAAGTAGGTGATAGGTAGATGGATTTTCGTTGTAATATACTCTAACTTACGTATGTTTTATTATTTCCTATTTTTCAGATATCTGGCAATATTGTTGATGTATGTAAATCTTGTCTTTGCAATTCCCTTAATCTCCTTTAAAATCTGAGAAATCTTATGCCAGTAGCATTTATGTATAGTGACTGCATAGCTTAGTTTTTTTTTTTTTTTAAATAAAAATAAAACACATATTTTTCCTCATCTAAAAATGGGCTAGGTAATTTCTAAGGTTCCTTCTAACACTAAAATGTACTTCTTTGATGTTTCCGAACAACAAAAAATCTTTTCTTACTATAGCTATTCTAACAGTTCAGGATAAATTCAAATGTTCAGGATTATGAAGCCGGTTTCCTACAGAGGTTGTTGTTTTCAGACTATCTCCCTCTCTGTGTTAAGCAGACATCCATCATCTACTACAGGGATTCGCAATTTCTTTTTTTTTTTCCTGTAAAGGACTGAGCGTAAATATTTTAGGCTTTGCAGGCCATGTGGTCTCCTTTGCAAGTACTCAACTCTGCAGTTGTAGTATGAAAGCAGACATAAAAAAAAAAGCAGTTACCGTCAAGTCAGTTCCAACTCATTGTGACCCCATGTGTGTCAGAGTAGAACTGTGCTCCATACAGTTGTCAATGGCTGATTTTTCAGAAGCAGACATAGGCAGTACTTAAATATATGGTTGTGGCTGTGTTCCAATAAAACTTTGTTTACAAAAACAGCGGTAGGCTAGATGTGGCCCAGGGGCCATAGTTAGCCAACCTGTGCTCTATAACACAGTCACATAACTTATTTCGGTAATCAGTGTAGTACTGATTTTATCACTATATCACAGGTAGGGAAACTGAGGCACAGAGATCTTAAAGAGACATTTGTATTAAATTAAAGTGACCTTGCTGTACTCTAATAACCACATGGCAATAGAATTCTTTTACATATATAGTGTTCAGAGAAAATTCTTTTTCTTCCTCTACAAGTGGATTAGTTGAGATGGTCTAATCTGTTATTCAGAATTAAAGTCTTCAGAAAGTGATTGGAAGCTCTATACTGCTGGGTCCCTGAGAATCTTATTTATAAATCATTTTATGTATGATTTTGCCAAAGTTTGCAATAAAATAAAAACCAGTTGCTGTTGAGTTGATTCAGACTCATGGCTGCTCCATATGTGTCAGAGTAGAACAATGCTTCTTAGGGTTTTCAGTGGCTGATTTTTTGGAAGTAAATCACCAGCCCTTTCTTCCGAGGGCCTCTTGGTGGACTTGAATCTCCAACCTTTGAGTTAGCAGCTGAGGGTGTTTGCACCACCCAGGGACTCCTGGTTTGCAATTTTTTTCATTATTCAAATGTAAAAATGGGTATGATTTACTTTGTTATTATCTAGGTTGCTTATCTTACAAGCTATTATTTTCTCAGAGACTTAACATCTATACTGAAAGCTGTATGTAATATAGATCATTTATTAGGCAGTTGGTATGGTTGTTTTCTAAAATCTACTTTTCGAGGCAATTCATTTGTGTTGTTATGACCTGCAGTACTTGAGAATTTGTCAGTCTGCATTTATATTCAGGGTCCTGGAAATATATTTTTTTCTCATCCAATTTAGGGACTAGAAGATAGTTTCTTTTCTGGATAGTAGATAATTACGGCTCTTCTTTGTATGCACAAAGTAGGCCTGTCATAGTCACATTGGAACTTGTGTAAATCTAATGGGATATGGTAAGATTACTTTAACCTGAATGAAAACTACCACAATACATTTAATGTTTAAGAAGTTTTAGTATTAACCGGAGCCAGGATTTGAACACAGAGTGGTCAAATCAATGTTCTTAGAGTAGTAATTTTAAAACAAATAAAGATTTTCATACAAGAAGGTTATCTTGCCAAGTAACTTATTATGTTTGTTTCTTCCAACTAAAAATAGAATGTATTTATTTTCTGCAGGGACATTAAACCTGACAATATATTGATGGATATGAATGGACATATCCGGTTAGCAGATTTTGGTTCTTGTCTGAAGCTGATGGAAGATGGAACGGTAAATAAAGGAAAATCTTAAATTATTTTATCCACAGCCATTTCCCTTGCTACTCGTCTTTTTTGTCTGTTCCAGAAACCATCTATTTATGCTATGTGTCCATCGATCCATTTATCTGTCTATGCTCTACCACCTTCCACAAAGAAATTTAGGCATACTTACTCTTAATAGGGCTTGTCTATAAAGTCATATGCCATTTTCAACTGCTTATATTAGTGATCTTAAGATTGCAATAATATACCTCTTATGTGATCCTTTACTTCTTCTCTAGCTATTATCTATTTATTATTGTACTTGAGATATTTTTAGGTTTCTAGAGGGGTAAACAAAATAAATCACACATGGCGAATGAAAATGCAACCCCTCGCTCAGTTTTTTTCTTTTTTCTCTAGTTGTCTAGTTGTTCCGAGGGTCAGTAATCAACAAATGCATCCTTTTTTTTTTCAGGAAGTCCTCTAGATTGATTCAGTTTCATGTTCCCATTTGCTCAACTTCTGCTAACCCTAGGCCCCTCAGTTATTTTCCTTCACTCACTGAAAAGTTTATATGCCCATGTTTTACTCCCTGGTATCTTTGTGTATTTGGTTGTTTGTGTTTTGTATTTCAATTTCCTGGCTGTATTGTGGAGTTTCGAATATATATACGTTTAATTGGCAGAAATTTTTGGAGATCAGTTTAGTATTATACCTTTCAAAAGTCATGAAAATGTCACATTACTTGGGACCAGTAATTTCACTTCTGAAAATTCATCCTAAGGACTTAGGTTCTTTAAAAAGAATTACGTGACTTTTGCCTCTGGCCATAATGGAGGGAGTAATTGGTACCAAATTAGTCCCCCCATTAAAAACAACTATAAAACTGGACACAATATTGAGACGACTGTTTTCAGGAAGTAGACAATGGAAAGCACAAGACTGTGATTTCTGAGAGAAATCAATTCATGAGCTATGTCTCACAAATGCCCTTAATTGGGACAGTTTCTTCACTGAGGTACAGAAAACTAAAGTTAGAGCAGCGTATACCAGCCTTACAGAGCTGAGGAGAAAGAGATCAGAATTTGAGTTAGCTGAGGCAGCTGGAATCTTCAGGGCTTGGCATTGTAGAGGAGAGTGCCGTACAGAGAGAGGGCCTAAAGTCTATATGGTGGTCCCCCATATAAATAAAAAAAAAGACACACTGCATATAGGGAAAAAGTCATAAGAATAACCATTGACCTCTCATCTGAAACCATAGAATGATATCTTTAAAGTTCTGAAAGGAAGAAAAATCTGTAAACTGAGAATTCTATGTCAAACAGAAATGTCTTTCAGAATTCAAGTTGAATTAAAGATATTTTTAGATAAATAAAAATTGAGAGAATTTATCTCCAGCAGGCCTGGATACTAAAGAATTTCCTCCATAACAAAGGAAATGATACTAGCTGGATACTTGGTTGGTATATAGGAATTAACAAATAAATTGATATGATAAATATGAGGATAAAAAAAGACTATACTGTCTTTCTTTTAAAATTTACATAAAAGGCATCTGACTGGTAATGTGGGGTTTGTGACATATTTAGAAGTAAAATGATGTGACAGAAGTCACACAAACAATGGAAGATGGGTATATAGAATTGTACTGCTGTAGGATAACTGCACGTGTGAAGTATACAGTGGGAAGTGGGTAGTGCCAAGTGTAACGTGAGAAGGGAGAAATAGCATGTTGATTTTGCTGCGATGAGAAAGCACAGACTGAAGTCAGGGAGGCTGGGGCATCTGAAAGTTGTGAGACATAGTTCCACAGAGAAGGCAGCTTCCTGAAAAAGAACTCCAGAGGAGGAGCTAGTTTTTACCCACTCATGCATCTTACATGCATTAGTCTCAAAGCTGAGGTTCCCCTCCTGGAGTCTGATGTCCAACCTTTTAAATCCCTGTGCATTTCAGAATGCAGTGAGTACTGTTTCTGTCCATATGACTTTCCCCCCAATAAAATTTGTTTCTGAAGGCCTGGTGTGTTTGCCCAGTCATTCATTCTTGTTTTGCTTAAGGATAGGATAATGTTTTAACTTTTGTTTCTAGCAGGTTAATTGATGATCTGAAAATAATTGTCTTGACCATACCAACATGTTAGTCCTCCCTTTTAAAAATGATAATGAAGAAACCTTTTCATTTGCTTTAATTTAATTTTTATTTTTTATCAGAGCTATAGCTATACTTATTTTAGAAAGATTTATGACAAAAGCCAGCCTTCCTTTGTCCTAATTCTTCCCACCTCCAGTCTCTACCTCTAGAAGCTGACACAACTGTATAGAATTTAGAGATTAATTTGGAGGAAATTTATGCCTACGACATGGAATCTTCCCATTCTCCAGTGGAGAATATTGTTTCTCCATTGATAAAAGGTTTCCATTTATGCCTATTAATAAAGTTTTATTTTTTTTTTACTGCTAGGCTATTGCCTGTATTTGTTCCTGGGTACCTTATGAGTTTTATTGCTGTTATAAATGATAACTTGTTTAAATTCGAAGTTTAATAGCTTATTGTTGTTCTTTAGCAGCACAATTGATTTTTGTATATTTATCCTGAATCTAGCCACCTTGCTAAATTTTTGTATTAGTTCAGATAAATTGAGTGTAGATCCTTCTAGGTTTTCTATATAGATGATCATATAATCTGCAAATAATGACCAGCTTTATTTGTTTCCCTTTCCAGTCTTTGTATGCTGTTTCTTTTCTCTTGCTATGCAGTTTATAACCTTCACTACATTGTTAAATAGACAAGGTGATAGGGAGTATCTTTTCCTTGTTTCTGGCTTTAATAGAGTTGTTTCTGTTGTTTCAGATTAAGTAGGATGTTTGATAAATCCTTTATTTGATTACAGAAATTTCCTTCTGTTTCTGATTTGCTAAGAGTTTGTTGTTGTGGTAGTTGTTGTAATCAAATGATTTTTCTGCATTCATTGAGATGATGTTGGTTTTTTTTTTCTCCTTTATTAATCTGTTAATCTGAAAAATGACAGATTTTCAACGTTAAACCGTCTCCATTCTTCAGGTAAACAGAACTTGATCATGTTGTTTTATTAATATGTATTTCATAAATTGCTAGATATACTTTGCTAATATTGTATTCAGGATTCTTACCTGAGATTCATACCTGTGATTATTCGTACCTGAAATTGGAGTATAATTTTCTTTTTCAAATTGTGCTTGTCTGATTTTTGTATCTAGGTTATATTAACCTCATATAAAGAACTGGGGAGCCATCTTCACTTCCTTTGACCATTTTGGCTATAGAATAGTTTATGTAAGACTGGGGTTATTGGTTATTGGTTTCTTATATAATCAGTACAACTGACTTTTAAAATCTTCTCAAGTGGTGGTGGGATTTTATTGTTTGGTTTTCTTCTGTTTTATGGGTAGATTTTATACTATTGATTCAAATTTTTTAATGGTTATAGGTCTCTTTGGTTTTCTATTTCTTCCTGAGTCAGTTTTGATAAGTTATATTTTTTCCTATGAAATTGTCTATTTTCTCTTAGTTTTCAAGTTTATAGTATAAAGTTGTTCATACTACTCTTTTCCTAGTTTTAAAATCTATGTTACATGTGTAGTTTTGTCCGCCTTTTATTCCCAACATTGTTTATTTGTGCTTCTCTTTTCCCTCATAAGCTTTGATATGTGGTTTCTTACTGTTGTTGAGTTCTAAATATTTTACAAATTCAGTTAGAATTATCCTGTGGGCCATTAATTATCTAGAGGTGTGCATTTTAATTTCCATAGTATGTTATTTGTTTATTTAGTTACTTATTTGCTTATTGATTTCTAGTTTTATTTTACTAGAGAATGGGTCTATTTGATAATTAGGTTTCTTTTTGGCATTAGTTGAGGTTTGCTCTGTGACTTTCTAGCAGGCTAATTTTAATAATTGTTCGATGTTTGTTTGCAGAAATACATTTTCTGTAACTTTTGAGTGCCAGTTTTCTATATATAAGTTTGTAAGGTTAAACTGGTTAATTTTGCTGTTCAATTTTTTTATATTCTTACTAGTTTTATATTTCTCTTTGATCTAGTTTCTGTTGTTTACAATGGTGGATTTATTAATTTCTTCTTGTCATTTGTCAGTGTTTTGCACAGCTCTTTTGTGGCTATGTTGTTAGGCACAAATTATTTAGAACTACTGTTTCTTCCGGGGTATTATCTTTTATCATTATATAGATGAATTTAAAAAAAATCTTAATAATGATTTTGGCCTTAGAATTTATTCTGACTGATACCACTGTAGTTTTTTAACATTCTTTTGTTTAATGTATGTCTGACATATCTTTTCATACCTTTACTTTCAAAAACCTTTCTGTGTCCTTATAGTTTAGGTGCATCTCTTTTAAACGGAATATTGCTAGACTTTGGTTCTGTTTATTTCTTTACTTTGGTTTTGTTTGTTATCCAGTGTGACAGTTGTATTTTTTCATAGGTGAATTTAATCTATTTATAAATTTTATGATTATCAATCTATTTGTATTTATTTCTCTCATATCTTGGGCTGTTTACTATAGGTTTTGTTTGTTTGCATGCGTGTTTTTTTTCCTTCTTTTCTGTCTACTGTTGGCTTGATCAGCTTTAGTTTATTTCTCTCTTTTTCTTTACTTCTTTGGAATCTGTACATTCTATTTCAGATATTCTAGTGGTTATCTTTAAAATTTTAACGTACAGGCTTTATCTATAGTCTGAAATTAGTCAGTTGCTTCACCATGTTCCCAATCAAAAAACATGAAAGAACACTTAACCCTGATAACTCCCTTCAGCTAGTATGTTATTGTTTTTAGTATTTTAGTTTCAACTTATTTTTTTACCCAAAGTAGTTGTTCTCACCATCATCATTGTTATTATCATCATCATCATTTTATCCAATTAAATAATGGTAAAGTTTTTTTTTTTTTTTTTTTTTTTTGCATCTTTGTTCACAGTTGCTTCTAGTATGACTTTCTTCCGTCTGAGTATAATTTCTTATTTTCTAAACTATATCTTTTAGAAGTTCATTTGACAAGGTTTATAAGTGGTAGCTCTCTCAGTCTTCGTCTGAAAATGTCTTTATTTAGCCCTCATTTCTGTATGATAGTTTAGGTAGGTAGAAAATACTACACTGGCAATTATTTCGTCTCATCACTTTGAGGATTCAATTCATGCTCTTCTGGCTTGTATTATTGCTATTAGTAATTAAGCTGTCAGTCTAATTGTCATTCCTTGGTATGTAATCTTTCTTTATTTACTGTTTTTAAGATCTCTTTGCCTTTGGTGCTTTACAGTTTAAATACAGTATGTGTAGGAGTGGATCTGTTTTTATTTATTTTTTCAGGACTTAATGCCCTACCTGCATGCAAAGATTCATGTTTTGCCTCATTCTTGAAAAAATTTACGCTTTTTCTCTTTGAATATTGCTCTTCTCTATTCTCTCTTTTCTCTCCTCTCATATTACACATAGGTTGAATCTGTTCATTCTAGCATACATGTCTTTTGACTTTCCTTTTATATTTTCCATCTCTTTATCTCTCCATATTGGAGGCTGATTAATTCCCTCAACTCTTCTTCAAGTTTGTTATTCACTTTAGCTGTGTCTAATCTGCTCTTTGCCTATTTACTGCATTTTTTATTTCACTGACCAGTTTTTTTTTTTTTCATTTCTCTTGTGTTTGGTTTTTTTTCTTTTTTTTAAATATCTTTAATCATTTTAAGGGAGCATTGGTGGTTCAGTGGTGGAATGCTCGCCTTCCATCCAGGAGAGGCATGTTTGATTCCTGGCCAGTGCACCTCATGTGCAGCAGCCACCACCCGTCTGTTAGTGGAGGCTTTTGTTTTGCTATGATGCTGAACAGATTTCAGCAGAGCTTCCAGACTAAGACAAACTAGGAAGCAAGGCCTTTCAATCTACTTCTGTAAATCAGCCAGTGAAAACCCTATAGATCACAGTGGTCTAATCTGCAGCCAATTATGGGAATGGTGTAGGACCAGGCAGTGTTTTGTTCCATTGTGCATGGGGTTGCCATGAGTCTGGGGCCACTAACTGTAACAATCATTTTAAACATACTTATTTTGTAGAGTGTATCTGGCAATTGGCAAGGGTCTAATTGTACATTTTGTTGAATTTTCTGACTCTTGTTCATAATGAACTGTTTCTTCATTTGGTTCGTATAATCAGATTGTGAACCCATCTTCAGTGGAGCTTCATATGTGAAAATCCTGTGTGGCCAGGTTTGAGCATTTGAATTTGTTTTGCCAGGCTTCCTAGAGGCAACTAATATTTATGTCAATTTCTTGGGTTGAGAATTTCTGGACCACAGAAGCAGTGTAAATTACAGTCCCAAACTATGGGACTGTATGACCTGAAGTATGGATTCCTAGGGGAGGAATTTTTTTTTTCATGCCGCTGCAAGTCAAGATACACAAAATGTCTTCCTTTCTTTCTCTGTAGGGTGGCAGATATTTATAATTCAAGCTTTTATTTAAAATACACCCTTTTGGGTAAAGGTTAGTTGGGGCAGTCTGTTGCTTTAAGCTTCCCACCTCAGGTAAGTTCAAGGTCCTTTGATTTGTCACCATGTGTGTTAAAATCCAAGCGTTTGGAAAATGAAGACGAATAATTCTCCAACCCATCCCTTAGCTCTAGTGCTTGTCAGCCTGGTTCTCAACCATTTCTTGATTACTGGCCCCTAAGAATTTCTCTTTTCTTAAAACCTCCTTTATATATTTATAAAAATGTTTGTTTTATTTTTTCTAGCAATTTTAAGAGTTTGTAATGGAAGAGTTTTTAATTTACTTAATTTCAGTATTGCCAAACAGGAAGTCTATTCCTAATGTTTATTAAAAGTGGTAATTTTGTCTAGAAAATCCAGAATATTAACCGTTGTTTGATATAGTACCTTAAGAATGTTCATTTCTTTGATATGTTCTTTTAAAACTTACAAAGAGCTTGTTTTCTTTTATTTCAGAGTATCTTATATATGTCCAGGATCTGTTTTAACTACCTAATTTCTAACTTACATCTAACCTGCCATATTTGTGTGCTCAGCTATTTTTCTTTTTTAGAATTTTATTTTTTGAAAGATGCACTTTTCCCATTTTCATAATTTTTTATTAACGAGTAGTTTGTGAGACATTGCTGATAGTTATTTTCTTAGGGTTTTTTTTTTCTTTTGAAAAGTGTTTTAAAATTATCTCCGGGGTTCTTATACATATTGGCCTACCTATTAGGAATTTTCTTTCCCCCTAACTAATTGTAAATTTTCCACAGTTCCATTTGTTTATATGTATAAGTCAGACAGATAAATATCGTTAATCAGAATGTTCTAAACCAAATGTTTAATTTGTTGTTAATAGGGTCTGTAGTTTAAATCATATTGTTTCCCTAAATGTCTGCAATTAAGTCACAGTAGGATAAAAGTTCTGTAGTAGTGAAGATTATATAAAATTTAACTTGTATGTAGAAAACCAAACCTAAACCCGTTGCCGTTGAGTCGATTTCAGCTCGTAACAACCCTACAGGACAGAGTAGAACTGCCCCATAGGGTTTCCAAGGAATGGCTGGTGGATTCGAACTGCTGACCTTTTGGTTAGCAGCCTAGCTCTTAACCACAAGGGAACTAAATTAAGATAACTACAAAAATGTTACTATGATATAGTAATGTCTATTGTATATCTAAGTACATGTAACTGTTTTTTAATTTTAAAATTATTATTTTGTTTCTAAAATATTGCAGTGGATTACTAAAAATGTGAACTCCTTCAGGTCCAGTCCTCAGTAGCTGTTGGAACCCCAGATTATATCTCTCCTGAAATCCTTCAAGCCATGGAAGATGGAAAAGGCAGATATGGACCTGAGTGTGATTGGTGGTCTTTGGGGGTCTGTATGTATGAAATGCTTTATGGAGAAACACCGTTTTACGCAGAATCTCTGGTAGAGACATATGGAAAAATCATGAATCACAAAGTTAGTATATCTTAATTTTTTTCAATTAATGTGATAAATAATACATAAAATAAATTAGAAGTAATGTGATAATCTAAAGTGAGAAAATATTTTTCTAAAAACAGTGACCATTCACGTGTCTATGCTAGTAGGCAGCATGACTAAATGTGAATTATCAAAATCCATAAATTATGCATAAAATTATTCTAACTTTCTTCTGTACTTTATCAGAGGTAATAATAAATAGGAAATTTAATCATCTCTCCAGTAGAAAAACTGACAAATATCATAAACAGCTTAAAGAAACATTACTTACTATAGTAAATGTGTAATCATGACTACTAGAATATAAGTTAAAAATTCTCAACCTTATTAATAATAAATGAAATGCAAATTAAGAATAAGCCATCCTTTTTTCTTATCAAATTGACAAAAATGAAAAGAAAAATAGTATTTAATGCTGAAAGTAGTACAGTGAGATGGGAATTTTTAGATATTGCTATAGAAATATAATTTGGTGTGACTTTTCTGTTAAGAATTTTTCAAGTATGTATCTATAGCCTTATGAAAATGGTTAGAACTTTTGATTGAGCAACTTCAGTTCTGAGAACCTGCCCTAATGAAATATTCAATAAAAAAGAGATATACGTACAATAATACCTATTTTAATATTATATATGATTGCAGAACATTGGAAACAATCCACATGTACCACAGGAAATGATTAAATCAAACTTCAATCCATTTGGTACTAAGTGAAATAGAAATGGGTTGTTCATAATAAGAAGAGGAAAGGTTTTGATTGATCAGCTTCAGAAGATAGTGACCAATTGCAAAAACTTGGAACATGAATAGGAGTATCCCATAAGTGGAATGATAATCTTTTTAACTTGTTATTTGGTGACACATTTATGTTAGTTGCTTCGTATGTATATATATGTCAATTATATAAAGTCTTTTAAAGGTTCTTCTACCTGGCTATAAAGATAGTACTCTAAATACTTATGGAGTGTTGAAAGACAAGGATCAGCTGAAAAGTTGTAAATAACATGTACAACATTTCAAAAAGAAATCATTATAGTATAAATGGTAGTTAAGAGCACAGATTCTGGAGTCATAGACAGCCTCCGTTCAAATCCCAGCTCTACCACTTACTAGTTGTGTGTCCTTGAGCAAATTGTTTCGTGCCTTTGTTTCGTCTTCTACAAAATTACAGTAATAGTAGTACACACCTTAGAGGATTGTTGTAAAGATTAAACTAGTTAAATGTGGAAAGCACTTCAAATAGTTAAAATACATATTAAACTCTCAAAAAAGTTAACTATTATTAAAAACAGTATCAGTTAGTCATTAGTGTTATGACTTATATGAAGATTATTGATCATCTACACTCTTGAAATAGTGAATCAAATTCCATTAGTTTTAATCTATTCCTCTTCAGTTTGATAGCACTGAAGGTATTTTAGCATTTAATTTAATCTCTGTCTGTTATAATACAGTGTGTGATATGAAATTAGTTATGCATATATGTGAATTTAATTTCATACATGAAATTAAAAGTTTTTTTAAGAAAATGACTTATTCTCATTCATCCTTGTATCTCCTTTAGTACCAGTGCTTTGTACCACTATATGCTTATTAGATATTTATAAAAGAAAATGTATTTTTAAGATATGAATAAGTCAGTCAAATTACTCAGTAAGTTAAATACTGATTTATACTTGTTTTTATTATTCTCTGTTTAGGAGAGGTTTCAGTTTCCAGCCCAAGTGACTGATGTGTCAGAAAATGCTAAGGATCTTATTCGAAGGCTTATTTGTAGCAGAGAACATAGACTTGGTCAAAATGGAATAGAAGACTTTAAGAAACATCCATTTTTCAGTGGCATTGACTGGGATAATATTCAAAACTGTGAAGCACCTTATATTCCGGAAGTTAGTAGTCCAACAGATACATCCAATTTTGACGTGGACGATGATTGCTTAAAGAATTCTGTAAGTATGACATTGTGAAAAAGTTCCTTCCTTTTGTTTCTTTTTAATGGTTTTTTTATGGTTGTTAAATTATTTAATGATTTTTCAAGTATTTTGCTAGAACTACCTTATCGGTTATCAATCAAATAATTATCATGGCTTGCAGTGCTTAGTCTGTCATAAATCAAGAAATTAAGAGAGGTAACTGAGGTGAGCAAAGTCATTCATAACAGAGAGTAAAATTAAAATTCAAAGACTTACTTATTAGATAAATTATATCATTAGGTTTCCTAAGAAGAAGACAAATAACCCATTGCCGTCGAGTTGATTCTGACTCATAGCGACCCTGTAGGACAGAGTAGAACTACTCCATAGAGTTTCCAAGACTGTCATCTTTACGGAAGCAGACTGCTCACATCTTTCTCCTGTGGAGCAGATGGTGAGTTTGAACTGCGGACCTTTTGGTTAGCAGCCAAGTGCTTAACCATTGTGCCACCAGGGCTCCTTAGAGGACAAATAACATGTTTACACAAAGTGGACTCTATCGGCCAGTTAACTCTGTTGTTTAGGGTGTGGTGCTAAAAAAAAGTGGGTTTCATGATGGTGGGGTGAAGAAGTTGGCAAATCTCTCCCTAAAAACAACTGTAAAACTGTACAAAATTGTCAAAAACCTTTTCAGATCTTGGCAAATCAACCCAAGGCAAATAACAAGTTGAGAAGCATTTATTCATGAAAAACTGCTGAGCCATGGTTCAGAATAGTCCCCCCTCCTGCCTCCCTGCTCGGTTGGAATGGTAGAACTACTCGCGTGGAGATGGAGGTGGACTTAAAAATCAACAGCTTTGCTGCTAGAGGGGGCTGACTTGATTTGGAGAGCAAACATCCCACGTCTAGCCGTGTTGATGGAAATAAATAGCAAACTCAGTAGGAAATAAATGGGGAAAGTAAGACCACACAGTCTTGCTAGCCTGAGGTAAAGCCCTGCTTGGGGTGGACTTCTGACCAATGAACTAACCAAATATTTAACAGGGAGACTGTGGATGAGAGTCTTGGAGGCACTAGATATGTTCTCCACACATGCCTGACTGACTCGGAGGCCACGTGTAAGGGCAAGAGAGACAGAAGGCCCAGGCACACCAGGCCCGGGAGAACAGCACATGTTCAGAGAAGACCCAAGAAGACTCAGGCTCTTCACACATCTTTAACTTATTAGGAGTCTTTGCACATGTGAATAGATGTTTTGAGAGGGCCTAGCAGGAAGTAAAATTTGGGGCTGAATGGAAAATTGCCTGGAATTTAAAAGTGTTCCCTCCCCATTCTACACACACACCCATTGGCAAAGGGCGAAAGTTTTACTGTCTCAAGGTGTTTGAGCACAATCTCTGACCAATTATTGGCTGTCCACTGAGTTATTTAGACACTGAAATAACTTCTAGAAAACTAGGCTAAAATATAAGAATTTAAAAACAAAAACTGAGCAGAAGCATCAGCAGCGTCACACCATAGGGGAGACAGATTTCACAGATTAAGGCAGACAAGTTACTATAAAACCAAAGAACACATTGATTTATAGATTTAAGTCAAGCCCTATCAGTTTATGTAGGTTTAATTCTAAAACTTATATGGGAATGCAAAGGACCTGGAATTTTGCAAAATAAGAAAAAAGTAGGACTGCTTGATTTCAGACCTGGTATAAAGTTGCAGTAATCAAGACAGTCTGGTACTAGTGTAAGAATAGAATAGAGTTTCCAGAAATACACTCTTACCTTTATGTTCTGTTGGTTTTCAGCAAGAGTGCCAACAGTTTATTGGGGGAAAGTAGACTTCGAAACAAGTGGTGCTGGGAAAATTGAATATTCATGTAAAAAGAAAAAAACAAAAAAAATGCCGCCTCACTTCATACCATGCATGGAAATCAAGTCAAAATGGACACCAAGATGTAAAAGTATAAAATTTCTAGGGTTAAAAAATATATGAAAAACATACAAGAAAATCTTTGTGTCTTTGGGTTAGGAAAAGTTTTCTTAGATAAGACACTAAAACACGATCCATAATAGAAAAAAAATTGGTAAATGGTATTTCATCAAAATTAAAAATATTTTCAAAAGCTAATATTAAGAGATGCAAAGACAAACCACAGACTAGGAAATATTTTGCGAATTATTTTCTGATAAAAGACTTGGCAAACTACATTTTAAAATTGGTTTGAATATACATTGCACTAAAAGAGATACATGAGTGACTGATAATTAGTACATGGATAGATGCTCAGTATTATTAATCATAAGGAAATAAAAATCACAGTGATATACCACTGCACATCTACTAGAATGGCAATAAAAGGCTGATGATTATCAATTGTTGGTAAGAATGTGTAGACACTGAAACCCACCCTCATAAGTTGCTGAGAGTAATGTAAAATGGTGCAATCACTTTGAAGAAAAGCTTGGTGCTTTCTTAAAAAGTTAAATATAAACTTGCCATATGACCCAGCAATCCTACTCCTAGATGTCTGTCCAAGAGAACAGAAAATATATGTTCACACGATGAATTGTATGAAAATGTTCATAGCAACATTATTCACAATAGTTTAAATCTAGAAACAATTCACATATCAATCAAAATGTGGTATATGTATATAATGGAATACTGTACAGCATTAAAAAGGAACAAACAACTGATACATCCTTAAACATGAGTGAACCTCAAAAACATATCAAGTGAAAGAAGAGACAAAAGATCAGAAGAACTCTTACAACTTGTCATGGATTGAATCATGTCCCCACAAAAATGTGTATATCAATTTGACGGGCCCATGATTCCCAGTATTGTATGGTTGTCCTCCATTTTGTGATTGTAATTTTATGTTAAAGAAGATTAGGGTGGGATTGTATAACACCCTTACTAAGGTCACATCCCTGATCCAATGTAAAGGGAGTTGCCCTAGGGTGTGGCCTGCACCACCTTTTATTTTACAAGAGATAAAAGGAAAAGGAAGCAAGCAGAGAGTGAGTTACCTCATACCACCAAGAAAGCAGGGCCCGGAGCAGAGTGTGTTCTTTGGACCTGAGGTTCCTGCGCTGAGATGCTCTCAGAAAAAGGGTAGACTGATGACAAGGACCGTCCTCCAGAGCCGACAGAGAAAGCCTTCCCCTGGAGCTGATGCCCTAAATTTGGACTTGTAGCCTACTAGAATGTGAGAAAATAAATTTTTCTTTGTTAAAGCCCTCCACTTGTGGTATTTCTGTTATAGCAGCACTAGATGACTAAGACACAACTCAGTAAGACAAAGAACCAAATTTAAAAATGGGCAAAATATTTGAATGGATTTAATTTATATGAGGTTTTCAGAAAAGGCAAATTTATAGACAGAGAAACAGATTACCATATTTTTATGGAAATAACATGTGCCTTCTACATTTATTTGCCAACCACGTCCTCTCCCTGTGAGGTATTTTCATAAGCATGCTATGCTAATTTTTTTACAGCAACATGTGAAAAAAAAATAGGCTTAGTGATGCTTCCAAAGATATCTCATGGAGGGAGGGCATGGTTGGCAAACTAACATAGAAGACCTATGTTATTTGCATAAACATATGGTTAGTGGTTGTCTGAGGATGGAGGCTCAAGCAAGACTTCTCTGAAGACTGGCACATGGGATATGGAAGTGTTCTAAAATTGGCTTGTGACGATGGTTACACAATTATATAAGTTTACTAAAAATCATTAGATTGTACACTTACAATAAGTATATTTTGTTATATGTAGATTATACTTCAATAAAGCTATTTAAAAAAAAAAAAACCCATGGACTTCAGTTTTTGTTAATCTGACATTTAAGGGCAAGTCACATGGTAAGTATAGAAATATCACTCTCATCTATAACAGATATTGAACAAATCCACTAGTTTATGAGTTACAAGTCTTCTAAGAATTTCAGATGCATCTTGGGCTTAAATAAAAGCAATACGATTAACAGGTCTGTTGTCCAGAGTTTGAATATGGAAATATTTATCAGAATGTTTTTATGAAATCTGCTTGTAGAATCATGTTCCACATTAATGTTTAGACTTTGATAAGAATTAATTATATTGATGTCTGTATAATTTTTTTGTCTCTAAATGAGACATTATAATCCTGGCAGAGAAATTCTTATCAGTGATTACTTTGCTTCAGATTAATAATAATTGTTTCCTATTGAAAGTTTAAATTGTCTTTCTTATTATATATAACACTGATTATTTTTTGCCTGTTTACCTATTGAAATCTAGGAAAAACCAGTCTATTTACAGATGGATAAGTAAACTTGCACACTGGCTGATGAGACCTGCATTTGTGGTTAAGGAAAGACTTTGTAGCTGGCTTTTAAAAATGACAAACATCTGTTTCTAAAATAACGTACTAAAGATTGTGCACTTCCCTTCTCTTCTTAGAAGATACCCCAAGAAACTACTAGGAGAATAATAAATAGAAATGCAGACTTCCTCTTAGAATCATAATATATAAAGAAGAATTGACTAGAGAGAAGTGAAAGGTAAAAGAACTCACATAAGCAACCCTGTGTCAAAAGGAGAATCCCTATTAATGAGGAACATGATGCTTAAAGTTTAAGAACTCATTTCTTTAAAAAATGAGTCATAGTAAAATAGGAACCAATACAAGATCAGTGCAAAGATAATAAAAGAAAAAAAGGAAAGGAATGAGAAAAAGAAATAGTATATGAAGAACACTCACTAGAAATACTTTCCTTGGACGAGATGAAAATTGTGACTCAACATAAAGCCATGAATTTGAAAAAAAAAAAAATGAAGCAATCGTCTATAAAACGAGCACAATGTAGAGACAAAAAAGCTCACAAAAAAATGTAGCAAGAAAAACATGAAGATGAAACATGAGATAGTAGAGTTCAGAACAAAAGGCAAAAAAATATCCCAGATGAAGTCCCAGTGAGAAGCAAAAAGGAAAACACATGCTGCTGAAAACGTAATCAAGACCATAGAGGACAGGGTGGTGAAAATGAG